CTATAGTTTAGATGTGCACTTGGTAGAGAGTAGAAAGAAGGGAAACACTGTCAAGTTTGCAAATCTGAATTTTCTTCCAGACTCTTGAGTACTCTGCTGTTTGTACAGCCTTCATGGAGACTGCGGGCAGAGTGTAAATAATTACATGATGTAAGCTGCCACAAAGTAAGGCTTACGGTTTGCTTTTGCCAGCTGGCATTTTATATGCACTTGTTTAACCATAATTCTGTTAAATGTAGATGGAGATGTAAAGACTTAGTGTAACTTCATTTTAAAATGGAGAAAATTGATTGCCCAGGCCGTGTGTAGTTACTGAAGAACAGAAAGGAGCCGTCTTGTAAGGCTTGGTTTGTTAGGTCCTGTGTATATCTGAAAGAGCACACCGCAGAAAGGGTGCCGAGAAGATAAGTTTTCTCTCTACCACAGCCATTCTCGTATTTTTCCTTCCCCAGAGGTAGGCAGTTACCAGGGTCTTGGGCTTTTACGAACTGTCTCATGCATGTGCTACCATACACATGTATATATCATCCTAATGCAAATGGTACATATCATTCACAGTTGTGGTATCTTTTTTAAAGGCGTGTTCAAAAGTATATCTGGAAATTGTAGAATCCAGGTATTTTTATTTTTTGGTCCATGAACTTTCCACTTACGTATCACTTAGGCAACTGGTTTTTGCTAACCCAAGTGAATAGACTTTAATGAGTTATTTCTATTCTATTGAATCATCTTTGTTTTAATATAATGTACTGTTCACATTTCTTTTAGAGAGAAAGAAATCATGGTTGTTGATTTATTTTATAATGAATCATGCTGATGTTAAAATATTTAGAGAAATTCATACAGCAGTTATTACTGCTCGTTACCAAAAATAGAAATTTGAATATTTACTTTTCTGTTTAAAAAAGGAAAAAAAAAAGGCAGAAGGCTGAGGATGTAGCTTAGTGATAGAGCACTTGCTTAATGTAAGTGAAGCTCTTGGTTCAGTCCCCAGTATAAAACAAAGTAACAACAAAGCCAAAATCTAAGAAGGAAATGGTGGGAAGTTTTCAGAAAATTAATTTGCTTTTAAATTTATATAAAAATATGTATGGTAATGTGCAAATAGTTAATCTTAGGGCCAGTGAGAAGCAACACTGCTGTCACCACCAAGCTGTCTGTGTGTGGACGGCACATGTATGCACTTGTGTGGACACGTTCATGTGGGTGCGTATGTGCAGGCTGCAGGTTGGCACTGCCTGTTTTTCCATTGCTTCCTCCGTGAATGAACGCCCTGAGTTCATCATTGACTGGGCTGGCTGGCTGGTGAGCTCCCGGGACTGTTCTGTTTCCAACCCCCCATGGCTGGCATTCTAGATGCCCTGACTTTTGCATGGGTTCTGGGCATCCATACTCAGTCTCCACGAGCCACTGTTTTCTGGCTCATCTACAGAGTGACTGATGCTAGAGGACTTAGTACCAGATTACTGCTCCCAGCCTCACCGGTCCTGGTGTGCGGATGCCACCGTGCCAGTTCTTCAGTTTACACTAGGAAGTATCGGGAAAGCAAATTATAATCGGTTTCTTTTTTTTCTTTTTATATTTTTATTTTACTGGAAACAGATATTTCATATAATATATTGTGATTATGGTTTCTCTATTCCTACCAGTCCTCCCCGCCCCCGCCGCCCAACTCCTCCCCCATCCAGATCCACCCCCTCTCTGTTTCTTACTGAAAAACAAATAGGCTTATAAGGGATAATAACAAAACAAGATATAATAAAATAAGATAAAACAAACATGAGCCAGGCAGTGAATTCTAGCACTCAGGAGGCAGAGGCAGGTGGATCTCTGTGAGTTTGAGGCCAGCCTGGCCTACAAGTGCTAGTTCCAGGACAGACTCCAAAGCTACAGAGGAACCCTGTCTTGACAAACCAAAACAAATGAATAAATAAGGTCAGAAGAAAGAGACAGAAGGAAAAGAGCTCAAGAAAAGGCACAAGAAATAGACTCAGACACAGAGACCCTCTTATTTATGTACTCAGTCCCAAGAAAACACAAATCTGGAAGCTAATATATATATATATATATATATATATATATATATATATATTATGACCTATTGATCAAAAAAAAACAAAAAACAAAACAAAAAGATAAAACTGAAAAGAGAAAGCTCTGCCATGACATTGAGGGACCCTCCAAAGATACTGAATTTGTTGGCCATCTACTGCTGGGCATGCAGCCTACCCTTGTGATTTGTTTCCCCAGTGAGACTTCTTGGAAAAAACTAAGTTTTCATATGCAACTGGTTATCAGTTGAAGTTTGCTTCTGGGTTATGGATGGTGTATGTGCCCACTTCTTTCAGTTCTAGGACCCCATCTGGTGTAGACCCCTGCAGGCCCTGTGCACGCTGCCTCTGTGAACTCACATGTGCGTCCATCCTGACCCATGCAGGCCCTGTGCACGCTGCCTCTGTCTCTGTGAACTCACATGTGCGTCCATCCTGACCCCTGCAGGCCCTGTGCACGCTGCCTCTGTCTCTGTGAACTCACATGTGCATCCATCCTGACCCCTGCAGACCCTGTGCACGCTGCCTCTGTCTCTGTGAACTCACATGTGCGTTCATCCTGACCCATGCAGGCCCTGTGCACGCTGCCTCTGTCTCTGTGAACGCACATGTGCATCCATCCTGTTGATTAGAGAACCTGGTTCCTTGGTGTCCTCCATCTCCTCTGGCTCTTTCCAGCTCTTCTTGCACAGGGTTCCCTGAGCCCAAGGGGAAGGTTTTGAAGGGGACGTGTCAGTTAGGGCTGAGTGCTGCAGAGTTTTATTCTCTGCACAATGTTTGGCTGTGTATCTCTGTATTTGCTCCCTCCTGCTTCAGGAGGAAGCTTCTCTGATGACGGATGAGCAAGACACTGATCTATGAGTACGGCAGAATGTCATTAGGAGTCATTTTAGTACTACACATTTTTGTTGTTTTAGTACAGAAGTATTTTCTTTTACCCTACGTCCCTCGGCTATCTAGTCTCAGGTTCTTAATCACAGAAGCAAGTTGGGGTATGGGTTCCATCTCATGGAGTGGGCTTTATGTCAAATCAGGTATTGGTTCGTTAACTCCTTCCCAGAACCTTTGTGCCACCATTGCACGTAGCGCATCTTGCAGGCAGGACACTGTTGTAGGTCAAAACGTTTGAGGCTGGGTGGGTGTTTATGTTTCTCCTTTGCGAGTGTAAGCTTAGTTTCTTGATAAGCTCTGAGTCAGCTTAGTGTGACATCTTTCTCTTAGGAACACAGTTGCTACTCAGACCAGGCAGTTTGATTTTGTAGTGTCCTCTCATATTGGGTCATGCACACGGACAATTTTTGCTTTCCTGATTTCTTTACTTAAGGAGGTATAGATTATCTCCCTGAGCACATTTCTCAAACTATAGCTTCATAAAACTGACTTCAATAAAAAACAGTTTGAGATAATGTCTATTAGCTTAGTTTAGTGTCTGGCACGCAGCAGGTGAATGGTAACTACTAGCAAGCACAAGTGCTTTGGGGTCTACCTCGCCTTGTTAGATAGCTATTCTATTTTATCTTATATATCTTTGATATGTTTCTGCCAATGCAAAAGGCTAGATCAGACTAGATTAAAAACTGATATATGCAGGTTTATTGGGCGTGGCTCCTGGGCAGGTTCACCAGTCCCAGAGAAGTCGCATGGAAACTTGCAGGGGAGTATGATTAATTATGTCATCAACTTAAGCAACAAAGCGCATTCCCATAAACACCCAACCTTTGATTTGCTTAAAACCACATAAAACCCATCTGACAACGCTGAGGCCGCTTTAGTCTGAAGTCGTTCTGACGCTCATGTTACAATGGATTGTCTAATAGCAAAGCCCTGGCACGCGTCTATTATTCCTGTCGTAGCAAGACAGTTCCCCGAGGGACGATAGCCAGTAGTTCATGTAATATTTTACTCTTTCTCCGATTGAATGCTTTCAGATACCGGGAACGTTACTGAGACTGAAACACTGGTAGTATCTAAAATGCTTGTTTCAAAAGTATGACACGTTTTTCTGTTTTCGGCATACCATGTTCTGAAGTCTGAGGAAATTACAAGTTGAAATTAGCCCGTGAAAAGCCCAGGAAACTTTTTTTTTTCCCAAGTAGAAATGACTAGAATAAAAGTCTAGTAAGTCTGTAAGAGACCGTGGTTTTGATTAACTGCGGAAAGTTTAAAGGATAAACTACCCTGTAGTACTGTGATTAAGACAGAGCTTAGGGAGAAGAGAAACCATCTCCGTGAACCCAGCGTTTAAAAATCTCTTTATGCCTACCACTTTGCTATCCTCTATAATCGTAAGTGGGATAAAATTTAAAAATCATTAACTTTTATTTTAAAAGTGAAATATACTTATTGTATAATTTTGGAAGTTACAAATAAAATGAAAATAAAAACTACCTGCAGTCTACTACTTGAAGACAACAACACACGATTGTGGCTTTTCTTCATCATTTTATGAATTTGTGTTGTCTGAATACACAGGTACATATGACCAGCTCTACAAATGCCAATGAAATAGATTTCTTCATTGATCACTTTCTCGTATTGTTAAGTATTGTCTCACAGCATTATTTTATTAGCAAGTTAGTTCGCAGTATAAGATTATAATACTTTATTGTTGGATATGAAAAATTTCCGATTTTCCTTCCTCCCTTTTCTCCATTTTCTATTACGGATGTTGCACTGAACACTCTTTGAAATTGTATTTGCATTCATAGCTATTCTTTGAGGGGTCCATTTAAAAAAGAATTTCTGGGTCAAGCTCACACCAGGGTTTGGTGACTGCATCCCTTTGCCCGTCGCGGGGTGCGGTGGGTGCCGGGCTCCTGCACGCAGCTTTACCTGGTGGGTGCGGGGGACGCGGCGCCTCGGCCCCGGGCCGCGCGGTTCCCGCTCGTTGCTAACCGGCGTGTCTTTGTCTTTCCTCCCTGGGGTCCGCTGCGCCCGTGGGGGCCGAAGCCTGGCGAAGCCGTCGCCCCGCAGCGCCGCCATCCTGCGTCCGCCCGCGGGCGCCGTCACCACGCGCCAGGCCGCCTCCAGCTGCCGCGCCAAGCTCCGCGGCGCCGCCAGGGAGCGCCAGCACCCGGCGCGCGCCCTCGGCAAGTCGGCCGCCCCGTGACGCCGCCGCGCGCTCCCGCTCCCGCGGCCGCGCGCCCCGCCGGACCTCCGGCCAGGGCCCGGGTCGCCTCTGCAGACGCCGCGTCCACGGCCGCCCCGGCGGCGGCGGCGTCGTTGCCAGCCCGAGCTCCTGCGCCCGCCTCCCCTGCCTGCCCCTCGGGACGCCGGGCCGCTGACTGCTGCGTGACACGCGTTCCTCCAGGCCGCCTGCGAAATCCCGGCTTCTTTGAAACTCTCGCTGCACACAATTCCTTTCCCGTATTTCTTGTACGGACTCCCTGTTCCCACACAGATTCTTCTCATTATTAGCTCGTCGAAGCCAGCCTCGTTTTCTTCACCTTCAGGCCTCATTAAGCTCCACCTCCCACTCCCATCTCCAAGAGGATTCCTGTTTGTCCAAATTCTCGTGGCTCTGGGGTGGCTAACAAACCAGAGTTGTATCAGGCACAAACTCTAGTTGAACTCGAACATTAGGCTTTCCCCTCCCTGTAACTCCAGCTCCAATTACCCTTCCTCTCTTTGGAATCTGTCCGTGTTTCCAAGGATCTACTTGTCATCTTTAGAAACTGGGTCCTCTCTAGAATATTGTCCCGTGGTGATCACAGGAAAGGTGCTCTGGGAAAGCTTGTTGGCTGAGCCCCTCATGGAGGTCATGCTTCTCCTGGGCTATTCCCAGTGGTCACAGCCAAGGTAGCTGTGACATTCATGGGACATACATGGTCCCTCAGTGAACTATTTTGGGGTGGGGGCCCCTCAACTCTTGGTTGAACTTTCTTAGGAGCGCTGGCTTCAGTCTATAGCCCTCTTGCCCCTGCCTTTCATAGGTGAGTCAGACCTCTGCCTTAAGGCACTAAGGCTCTTTCCCCTCCTTTTCCTTTCTTTCTCAGGTGTCCCCTTAACACAACTGCTGCACAGTGACCTTTGTCTTGGTGTCTGCTGCTAGGACCTGAACTGACACACCAGACATTCCATTCTCTGATCACCTTCTTCCTATCCGGAGCTTTTTGTCCATTGATCTCATTTTTTTCTACTGTTGGGCAGGCCATGCCTTGGATATATTTCCTTGACTAGCCCAGACTCCATAGTCCATTATAATCATGCCTTGAAATGCGATTCTCTCAGCACTCTCAAACCTCATTTTCTTCCGAGTTATTTCCTAGAAAAACAAAATGCAACCGTACATAAGATAACCTCTGTCTTGCACGGGCCTGACTGGTGCAACTGATCATTTCCTGCAAGAAAATCTCAAGAAACAACTGACCTGTTCTCCTTTCAATACTTTATTGCAGATCTGAAATTGGTGGTTTTTCCTATGATCATCTCAGTCCCCCACATCTAGACCGACCGTTTCTGTGCATGTGTCTCCTCAGAGTGCCCCTTTTGGTTCCTATTTCCCTGAGAAGTAAGAGTTGCACACAGGCACCCGCATCTTCCTGCTACAGTGCCGGAAATGGCCTCCCCTTTTATGACTGAAAAAGCTCGCAGGCCAGTCCCTTCGAAGTCTTAGCGCTGTGGATCTGGCTCTCTTGGCTTCTGAGGAACTTGAGGTTCTCCTCTTCCTCTCTCTTGTTACCATCATCTCCCCTCAGTCAGTTGTTTGGTTGCAGTAAATGGCACATCTCATCCAGTTTCTCTAGTCAGAAACCCGGAGGGCCCCTCTGCTTCTCTTTGACCAGCTCCTTACAAAGCAGACCATCTATCTCATCCACCAGTTTTATCACCCAAATATGCCTTTTCTTTTTTTCGGAGAAAGAATCCCTCTACATAGTTTGCCCGGAACTCACTGTGTAGAGCAGGTCAGCTTTGAATTTGTAATGATCTCCCTGCTTCTGTCTTCGAAGGCCCGGAATTATAGGTGGCACAATCCTTCCTGACTCAAAGTCATCTTTAATCTGCCCCCTCCCGGATTCAGTACCATCATCACTTCGTCCTGGCCAGCACTTTCTTCTCATGACCTCTATGTCGGCTAGTCCTGCATGGCCTCTCAGCTAGCCTTCTTGCCCTACCGCACTACCTTTTTGAGCCTGGTGGTAGTGAGCTTTTCATCAATTGAATAAATTGTTGGTTATAGGATAAAATGGAAACTCCGTACCATAGCTTACAAAGCCTACACCATCCGACCCTCTCTTATTTCTTCAACATCTTCTGTTCTCCTACTGTTTACCATGTGTGGCCATGCTAGCTCGGCCAACTGGCCAAGCGAGATCTTTTCCGTACCTCAGGGGGTTGGTAAATACCACTCTCTCTAAGCTGCCCTTCATGGCCTCCCTCTCCGTCACCACAGCGTAGCCTCAGGATGGGTGCAAGAGTTTAGAGAGAGACCTGTCTGGAGCACCATACTGAAAGTGACCTCCCAATCATTTCCTCCCAGTTCTGTGTTTGTCATCTTATTTATTTGCTTATTTTATTTGATTTCCTTCTCCCCACACTAGAATGTATGAAGGAAGCGACTGTGGCTGTCTGGATTCTTCAACACTGCATTCTCTGCCCATAGCCATTTGGTACATATTAGACGCACAGTAACTATCTGTTGAAGGGATAAATGGATACATATGCTAATTTTTCTGTTGGGAATTCACTTTCTATTGACTTAGGAAGAGGTATTTATATATTAAGACCACCAATCATTTGCGTATTCTGTTTGCTGCAGACATTCTGCCCTTCTCCACTATGTGCCAGTTTAATTCTTGATGTCTATGAGATACAGAAACATTGTGTTTCTCACGACAATAAATACGTTTTATGAGTCTTGCATTTGGTGATATGTTTAAAAATATTGTCTCTGTGTCAGTGTTCCATGCCTATTTGTTTGTTTCCTTTTATTTTTATTTTTTTTTAGATTTAAATATTTTCTCTAAATGGAATTTATTTTTGGTATAGGTGTGAGTAAGGGCCTACATATTTATTTAGTTGTTACATCATTTATTGAAAATTCTTTTTTATTGTTTTGAATAGTTCACATTTTTGGAACATTAAATTCTTATACCTGAGTAGTTTCTGTGCTTATCACGTCACGTGTTTGTTGTTCCTGAAGTCCCTTGGCTGTTGCCATGGTATCAGTTGCTTTATTCTGTGTTTACAATGAAGTAATGTTACTTTTATTTTTAAAAATATTTTTGGTTTTTGGCTATGGTTTTTCATTTATTCTCCTCAATTAGCTTTAGTTATATTTTGGTAAAGTCCAAAAGAAAGTCTACTGTCATTTCCTTTAGGATTATCGCTTTAAGATGGTGGGTTATTTGAGAAAGAGCTGTAAAGCTTGTACTCAGAGATCTACTGAGGAACTGGTCATGTGTCAAGGTTACTGAAGACATCTGTATGTCCTTCAGTTCTTTTTTTAATGTGCTGTAAACTTATTTGTTACATTTTAGCTATTTTATATTTTGTTGCTATTTTACTGTGATCACCCCCCTCCCCCATTTTTAAGAGCTTTTTATGAAAGCTGTTCCTTGTAAGGTCAATTGATTTTGTGTTTGATAACTTTCCAGATCTCTCGCTAATCCTTATTGATTCCTTTCTGCATAGCTGGTCATTTAAAGCATCATTAATGATAATTTTGTGTTTCTTTTGCTATGCTTATACCTCATCAGATAAACGATGGTAATAGCCGTGCTCTTGTCCTGACATTTTAGGAATGCCATCAGTATTTTACCAGGTTTTAATGTTAACTACTCTACTCAAAATGCAGGCCTTCAGTCAAAGGAAATTTTTTTTTTTGGTTCAAATATACCAAACATATTTTGGAAGTTCTTGTTGAATTATATTAAACACTCTCGGCAAACAGAGGTTATCGTATCGTTTTATTTTGTGGTCTGTTACCACAATACACTGTTATTAACCGATTTCTTAACACTGGGCTATTTCTGCATATGATAGAGTCTGTAATCATGGCGAACTTTCCCCCATTTTAAGTATAACAATGTTAAATTCAATTCCTTACATTTTAATTGGGGTTAAAACATTTATATTCATGAAAAGTATTAGATTGCAATCTTATATTTTTATATTCTTCTTTCTTAGCTTCGGAGGTGAATTTCTCTATTGTGTTAGGTATATTAGTAATACTATAGAACTGTCTATTCCTTGATGTCTTGGAAGAACTCCCTCATAACACTGTTTATAAGATAAAAGATAATTCTCTGAAAAGTTTGAAAATTTCTATGGTTTTGTCCTCTAAAGGCAACCATACTTCTTGAATAGCAACTTTAAAATTATATTTTTAAAAGAAAATCATGCATTTTCACAGAATTTAAAAATATGTTAGATTTCTGCATATATTTATCTTATAATTAAAAATATTTTTCTCTGTCTCTGTGGTTGTAGTGTTTTTCTTATTTCCCAACTCTTTAGTCTTTAGTTGTATTTTTTTCCTTTTATTGGACTTGCCAGTCTTTTTAAGGAACCAATATTTAAATATTTTATTAACTCTTAGTTTTTCTGTTTATAGCAGTGTAATTATTTATCTCTAATTTCTTCTTCTTATTAAAAGTTTAGTTGTTGTTTTATGAGTGTTTCTTTGTAATTGATGACTTAGATAATTTTTTAATTTCTTATTTAATAATAGGACATAAGATTATAAACTTACCTCTGGGCACAGCTTTATTCTATGGCCCCTTACTGTTATAGTAACTGTTTCTATTTTGTTTTTTAACTGGTGTAATTTGCAGTAGTGTTCTGAGTTTTTCCCTGTTAATTCTGCTTTCTTTAATAAAAATAAGCTTATTGATATTTATGTTGCTATTTTAATAAAGAGCCAATTTTGTTTGCACGAAGTGAGATTAACTGTGAAATGATTTTTTATCTGAAGTAGCATACAGGCACCACCGTAGAGTTTTCCTTGGGAAGATGCTGCTAACAGTGCTGGCTAGTGTCAACTAATTACAGACAGCAGAACTTTGAAACATCACCCATGCTAGTAGCTTACTGAAACAGCAATTCTTCACTGCTCTAGTTACTCATGTCAAAGTCAAGAAAGATCTCGAAAAAGTTTATGGTGTCAGTAACCATCAAATAATATCAAATTTAAAAGGCCATCTAATAATTAGAAAATTTCCATTCAAATTTATGAAATCAGAAAGGCTTGCATATTTTTTAATATGGATGTCTCAAATTTTGTTATTAGAAAAGATTTCTTTTAGATTTAGAAAAAGTAGTTTTAAAATGTTTATTTTTTAAAAAAGATTATGTTTCATGTACATAAAGTAAATAAAAGTTGCCCATGATGCTGTTATCTAAAGGAAAGCACTGTTAAAATTTTGTTTTATCTCCCTCTAAAACAATTTAGTGCACATCTTGTCTCTTTCTCGGGGACAGAACTAGGCTCAGAGTCTTCTCCAGCGACGTTAAAGTGTAAGGAAGTGGAGATGGTGGGCAAGTATTCATCTCAATGGCAGTAGAGGAAGTAGGGGCTCTCTGCTCTGGGTTCTGGTGTCTGTGTTGCCCGGTCCTCTGGATCCTCAGGCGTGGCCCTGGGCCGCAGGGTCTCTAGGCAGGGCCCCACATTACCCAATCCCCAGGTGTGTGGCCCTCTGCTTCCAGGTCCCCATGTGTGGCCCTGTGCTGCCTGGTTTCCAGGCGTGGCCCTTGAAGATTCTTCCTTCTACTCCTTTTAATTCCTCTGCTATTCAACTTCTCAGAAGTACTTTCTGTTATATTTCAGAACTACTCTCATTGAGAACAGTGATTTTGTTTGATTTCATTTCTAATTTATATATATTTATAGTACCAATAAATATATGGATATGCACACATACTACTCAGATTTGGAATATTTTTTACTTATTTGCCGATCTGGAGGTTTACAGACTACTTTAAAAAAAATAAATAAACAAGTCTTTTAGAAGTTCTGTTACAAGAGAAAAGTTTGTTTTAAATATATTCAAACTTTTCCTTACGGAGCACTTTCTTTTAAGACGTGCTGGTAGTTTTTTAAAATTCTGTTTTTATTTGTGAGTATGTGTGTGTATCTGTGAGCATGCCATGTGTGTATAGGTGCCTGAAAAGGGAGGAAGAGGGCATTGGGTCCCCTGGAGGTGAAACTGCAGGCGGCTATGAGTTGCCTGATGTATGTGCTGGGAACCGAACTCGGGTCCTCTGGATGAATGAAGCACTCCCAGCCACTGAGCCATTATCTCTCTAGCCACATATGTAGTTTTTTTTATGGCTTTTAGAAAAACAAAAACGGTTTACTTTATCAGCTAAGTGACTCTTAAGGTTGTTAACTCTCAATGGTTTAAAGTTTAGGTAGGGAATGTTTATTTGGGGTGCCTCTTGTGCACTGAGGAGTTACTTTCTGAATTGCCTCCAGGCTAAAACAAGGGAGGCCCCTGCTTTAGACCCCATGCTCAATGGGCCTTATTCAGGCCTTTTGTTAACAAGTGACAAGTGTGAAGACACAGTTGATTGGAGGAATTTGTCTACCTGGAACGGGAGCTCTCTCTAGTACATGTTGGACTCCTGGCATCCAGGGATGCCTTGCCTAACCAGCACCTTTCACTCTATCCTGAGGAACTCACCAGCCCAAAGTGAGTCTAAAGAGAGCTCTCTCTGTCGGGGTTGAAGAGGTATCTCAGTGGTTAAGAGCACTGGCTGCTCCTCCAGAGGAGCTTGGTGCGTTCTCGGCACCCGCATGGTCTTAGAACTAACTCAGGCCTTGTGGTATCTGCAGGCACCAGATCCCAGGCATACATGTGGTGCAATGTGAGCTATCTACTGAGCTTGGTCACACTTTGGTTTTGCAGTTGTGCATATGACACTATGAGAGGACCAGGCCACTGCATTCCAGCACAAGACTCTGAGAAATTCAAGAATTCTAAATTTAAATGTGGCTTTTTAGTAAATTATGGAGGTGTATTTGTTGACATAAATCAATAGGACATTTTTTTTCTTGAGACAGTGTAGTCTTGGCTGTCATGAAACTCACCATGTAGACCACGCTTGCTTTGAACTCCCACAGATCTGCCTATCTCTGCTGGGAATAAGGGCATGCACCACCACACCTGGCTATTAGTACATATTTTATGTGTTTATATAGTGTTTATATAGTGTTTATGCCTGTGTATCTGTGATGTATGCAGCTGCCCATGCCTGTATATTTGGAGGCCAAGGGTTGAGGTAAGGATGTTTTTCTCAACCTCTTTTCTTACATACGTATGTGTATGTCAATAATTTATTTGAAAATGTCATAAATAATAATGTGTTTTGAGCATACCCATTTTATGCTCTACCACTGGCTGGTTTGTAACGTGAAAGCATTTGGACATGTGGCATATCAGTGTGCACTTTAGCGCCAGACTCTATATGTTTGCAGAGATTGATGTTTGAAGGCTAGAAGCAAACTGTGTACTCTTAAATAATATTGGGAAGTCTGGAAGTTTCAGAGGAAGGTTGCCATCTGGTGTTAACTTGAGAGAGAATTCTGTGTATCATGACGCTGCCTGATGGGCCCAAAAGCTTAGAATGAAGCACCTGAGCCTTTGGTCTTGGGATAGCCTATAAATTGGACAATGAGTTCTTTTTCAGGGACTCTAAGCCATAGTGGATTGAGGATCAGAGATCCCTACTCCCAATTACTGGACTGCAGAAGCTTCCAGAATAGTTCTGTATTCTAACAGGCTTCTCAGAATATGACTGACTTTGGTTTTGATTCTTCTTCTTCTTCTTTTTTTTTTTTTAAATCATACCAGTAAGTGGAAAGATCAGAATTATGTTTTGTTTTGAAAATTAAGCTAACAATTCACCTTTTATACACCATGGAGAGCAGTATAAGGCTTTCAGTAACAAAACTGTAAAACATCCACAATGGCACAAAAAGAAGTACATGATGTCTTGAAAAAGTAAGACAGAGCCGGGCGGTGGTGGCGCACGCCTTTAATCCCAGCACTCGGGAGGCAGAGGCAGGCGGATCTCTGTGAGTTCGAGGCCAGCCTGGTCTACAAGAGCTAGTTCCAGGACAGGAACCAAAAGCTTCGGAGAAACCCTGTCTCGAAAAATCAAAAAAAAAAAAAAAAAAAAAAGAAAAAGTAAGACAGAGGGAGGGACCTCTGTGTGTCTGCAAGTTCAGGGAATGTTCAGGAAAACATATCTTATGTTTACCTAAAATACTTATATAATATACTTTAGTGTATGTGTATACACTAAATGAGTTTAAATGAGTTATACCACTTGGGGTGATGGTATTCCCCCATGAACCAGACACTATCTAATGAAACCACTAGTATTAACTCCTTTAAGTTGTTGATCAGAGGTATCCAAGACACTCTCAAAACAAAGCAGGTAATTGTCATTGCCCTTGGTTGTCTCCCAGAACTTGATTGCTGAAGACAATACATATTCCAGACTTAGGAGGTGGAGGAATTGAGCTGCAACTGACCTGGACGGTTCCTTCCTGAAGACCAACTCTCATAGTATCTGAAGGTGCTTTGCAAGCTTCCCAGGTAGAAAAACAATGGTCCTATCCATGTGTAAATTCGATGGACCACAACAATTCGGTAGGGCAAGATACCCCCAAGGGTGCAACAATAGCACTTTTATCTTGGGGCTAACTCACAGTCTTCTAATTGGACTTAAGGCTAGCTCAGTAGGAAAGAATTCATTATTGATATGTAAATCCATTCAGCTACCTATGATTGGTGAACTTATGAATCCTAGAGAATATGATACTGCCACTTTCTTAAAAATCATAATTTGTAATTGCACTCTAAATGCTTATAGCCACAGATACAATTTATACCACTGGTGTAGGAGATCCTTCTGTTTATGTGTTGCTTTCATTGGTTGAATAAAGAAACTGCCTTGGCCTTTTAATAGGGCAGAACTTAGGTAGGCATGGAAAAACAGAACTGAATGCTGGGAAGAAGGGCCGAGTGAGAGATGCCATGGATTTCCTGCCTGAGATGAACGGTGGTTAGAGTCTTGCCGGTAAGCCACAGTTACGTGGAGATACACAGATTAATGAAGATGGTTTAAACTAATATGTAAGAGTTAGTCAATAAGAAGTTAGAGCTAATGAGCCAGGCAGCGTTTAAATGAATACAGTTTCTGTGTGATTATTTTGGGTATAAGCTAGCAGGGCTGCTGCATCAAACAAAGGGACCCCTCTCCCATGCAACACACCACTTATACTTTTCTATACTTTTATACCCACAGATAAATGTAGCTCTCACACCTCATCAAAGAAACTTCTTTTTGCAACAGATGGGACACCATTACAGAAAAACACAACTGGTCAAAATGCAGAGAACAATCAATTGTGGTGTGCCCAACCCCAGTTGATAAATCAACAATACAACCCCTACAATGAAGGCCCAGGGAACATTATAGAAGAGGGGGTGGAAGACTGTAAGACTCAGGGGACCAGGAAGTCTGCTGCAAGATATATATGACAGGGAAGTGTAGTGATATTTTCTTTATGTTTTAACAAATAAAGCTTGCCTGAAGATCAGAGTGTAGAGGTAAGCCACTAGAGGCCAGGAAGTGGTGGTACATACCTTATTTCCAGTATTTGGGAGTCACACGCTTCTGTTCCCAGCACTTGGAAGGTGGAGACAGGAGTGATATGGCTGGGTGGAGAGAGGACTATGAGGCAGGAGGAGACAGAAGCTAAATGCAGTTTGAGGTTTGGTGGAGACAGTTGCAGTCTGAAGACAGGATTGCCCCTTCAGTCTGAGTATTGGTAAAGGTAAAAGGTGTCTCTAGTGACAGGCTGCTCTGCTTCTCTAATTTTGACCATTAACTTCTATATCTGACTATGGGTTT